CGACGACGGTTATCAACCAGAGACGTCGCCTTTTCGTCCGGCCACGATTTCCTCCCCGCAACCCCGGGTCCTCAGTTCGGACCCGGGATTATCGCCTGGCTACCTGACGAGTCACTCAAGCGCCGAACTTCATATCCGCCACCCAGCATGACGTCACCTTCTTACAAGCATATCCGCTCCTGCCCAGCTATGCACCTCCTTTAAGCGTTATCGCGTGCTTCGCCCACCAAAGAACCCTCTCCTCCACTCATGTCCACTTTCAGCCCACTTAAGGTCTCCAAGCCCAACCTTTCTTCCTGTGCTATCGAGTCTCAACATGTGAGCGCACTACCGGCAATAATCGATATTAGGTCTACTATCAGCTATATCGCCTCGCCGCCGGCAAGTGACCAGGCCTCCCGGCCAGCCAATCGCTTTCCTCCGGCGACTTCGCCTGCCTTCCCCAGTGTTGCCATACTTGTTTAGAGGGATTCCGACTTGTTCAGTTTCCGCCGAAATTCCGCGATTGGTTTAAATTCCCCGCTATATCCGTTAATCTTAAAATGAATCAATATTTCATATTTAAATGTATTAACAAAATCTATTAAAACAAAAACATAATTGCGAAGTATAGGTGCTTTATTGAACCTGCAATTCAAATTTTAGATAATATAGAATGCATTACTTGGGTGAAAATTGCAAAATAATAACAACTGATTTCAGGTATTATATAATATATTATATCAGTATTATAATATTTATTTTTGCTAGTAACTGGATTCAGAAATTATAAAAATATACATTATTGTGAAAACAACTTATTAATAAAGGTTAAACAAAAACTGATGCTTTACTAATTTTAACTGCTTTACTAACTTTATTAATTTTCGCGCGTTTATTCCCGCTGTTCCGCGAAACTAATTTTTTGTCCGCAGTACGAGTTAAAAAGCCGCTGAAAACGGCGGGAATTCCGCCGATATGGCAAACACTAGCTTTTCCCAGCGATCCCCGTCCAGCGGACGTTGCCAACTCCCCCGAGAACGTCACTGCTCGCTTAGCAACGTCGCACGCTGATCTTAACGAGACGCGAAAGGCGCGCTGAGGATTTATGTTCGTTTATTTTGTAAAATGATTCTTGGGTACGAAAACTAATGAAACGTGGCCTAGATGTAAAATAATATTATTCATTTGTAATTGTTCATTTATGTTGAGTACAATAGTGATCTTATACGATATTGTTGAAGATGATACACCAGTTTTCATTTATTCATACTAAATTAAAGAAAGGTTATTACAAGTATTTACCCTAATGATCCCGAGGGAAACTGGTTGTAAACCATCCGACATGGTGGTTTTATAATTTTTTAAAATGTCTTGAAAGAAAAAAAAATAATGTGAAAACTCTTCGGCTTTTGTTAATTGTAAAACAAATAATGATTCTTGTTTATAGAGAAGTACTCTTAATAAGTGTACCTTTTGCAATTTTTGTTGTTAAACCCAATGATTAATCATTAATTCTATTAATATAAAATAACAGTTACACTTAACTCTTCAGGATGGAAAGGGTGCGCAGCCAAAAGCCGAAAGCCCAACACATGAAGCGTATTTTGATCTGAAATTAACAGACAACTTGTTCGCCTCAATTAATGTTCTGTAAGACTGCTACCTTCATGTCACTTTGTGTTTTTATTTTTGGCTGTTCGAAAGTTACACTAACTTCAAAGATAATTTCTCCTGCCCGAGAAATTTCACCTGCCGTGCGACCTCTGGCATTATTTCCAGCCCTGGCACTTCACTCATCTCCATGTTGAGTGTGTGTCCACATTAGACAAGTGACAACGATGCCGATGTTTTTCAAAACATTGATGTTCTTGTTGAAACATCAATTTTGTTAATGTTAATGCATTGTGCCATGCTTTTTATATCGATGTTTTCTGGTCAATGTTTTTGTTTCTCAAAGAAAAAGTAGGGCATGATCACAAAGGTATTGAAAATGTAAATTGTGAAATATAACTGATGGTAAACACTGTTCATGTGATGGAACTTTAAGGAACGACTGTGTGTACTACGAGTATCTTCATTAACCAACACTCTCTTGAGATAACGTCCATGCTCTTGAATTTGCTCTTTCTTCATATTCATTTCGCAACATTCCGAAGTGGTCAACTAATACGTGTGGACGTAGTGTCTGCCTCTTCTCTCGTTCTCTTATTCGGTGAATTAGGAACATGTATATTGTCAAATTAAATTTGTTGCACATGATAAAAGTTACTAAACAAACTTTGAAATATCGATGTTAAAAACCTGGATGGTTTTTAGTCGATGTATTATTAACATCGAAGTTTTAATTTTGAACAACCATATTTGTTAAAGTCGAAGTTTTGTTATTGATGTCGCATTCCTCGTCCACATTACGCTCAAAGCGTGCTATCGTTGACTAATGATGTATTTAAACAAAGACGGAAAACGTTGTGCGAGTTCTGGGTGGTGATGAAGGTGAGTTTGCAAACCACTGTCAGAAAGAGGTCAGAAACAGGGGCAGGGACCGAACGAAGAATTGTTTTATTTTCAACGATTCATGACGCTCCGTTTGATTGTTAGCGATTCCGAGCACGTCAACTACTAGGGTCGTTAGTTCTTGCCCAGCCGCGGAGCCCCAGCGCTCGGCCGCCAGGCGGCACGCACCAGTTGGCGTCGGTCCAGGGCGAAGGGCCAGCGCCAGGCCCCCAGACATTGGGGCCGAACAGCCGCGCGTGACAACATCGCTCGTTCCGGCCTAGTCAGCGCAGGTACTCAACACGATCACTAAGTGTATTACAGTGAAGTATCGTGTGTAGTGAAGTGAAGTACAAATCTGCTAATATACAGTGAGCCATAAACCAACAGTCGCTTATCAGTTATTTATTCAACGGTGAGCCCCATTCAGCATGCTGTGACCTAGGTCACAGCATTGCAGGAGCCAAGGCAACTCCATACGACCGCGAGTGTCTCATGGAGCAGAAGTCTAGCAGTCCAGAAATTCGACATCATCTCGTATTCGGAGCCATCTCGAGCGACCAAACCCGCAGTTTGCCTCAAATATGCCGAATGGACAGTTTGCAATTGTTCAAGGTGCCGTTTGCAGCTCGCAACAGCTCACCGGAGCCGGAAACCTCCAGTTAGTGAAGTTACAATCTGCTAATGTACAGTGCGCCATAAACAAAAAGTCGCCTATCGTTATTATTAACTTGAGTCATTCAGCAGCTGTGACTACGTCACAGCATTGCAGGAGCCATGGCATCTCCATATGGCCGCGAGTGTCCCATGGACAGTACCTCCAACAGTCAGAAATTAGACATTATCTCGTATTCGGAGCCATCTCGAGGCAACCAACCCCACAGTTTGCCTCAAATATCGCAAATGGGCAGTTTTGCAATTGTTCAAGGTGCCGATTTGCAGCTTGCAACAGCTCACCGGAGCCAGAAACCTCCAGGTCAGTAACCTCTGCTCAGCAAAAGACGCAGCTAGCGGCGAAGTCAGCCATTTCACGAAAAAACAGTGAGTCGCTACAAATTACTACCA